TGTCTTCTGGTTAAACTCAGTACAGCATCCTGTGCCAAGGTTCACTTACAGAAGAGATGAAGCATGGGGTCAGGTTCACAGGAATTGAGGCTCTGATTGGTTCCAGAGGTATCTGCACATAATTTTATACTCTAGATGCTCAGGGACACTACCTTTTTTGAACTTCTCAATTCCCCTTCCCCTGGGCCTAAAAGGTCCTCCTAGGTTAGGCAGGCGGATGAAAAAATAAAGTGATTTTCTTTCTTTCTGAATGCTCTCCTGGTAATTTAGCCCTATACTGACTATGTGCAACAGGTGGTCTCCTGGGTACAAACTTTACTTACTCATCTATGTATGTTCATGCTCATTTACATGTGCACGTTCAACACCTTTTGCATATTCCAAAAACTCATTCAGAAGTTCTGTTGGCTTCTGGCACATGCTTATTGGATAGGCACAGCCTATTCAATTGAATGAATAAAAGTTAACTCCTAATGGTATTTATCATGCAACTTTAAAAGTGCCATAAAAATTATAGTGTATGCTGCAATTTTTTCAGCAGGAATCTTTCAATTTAATGAAGCAAATCCAATTTTTTTTCTTTATGCAGTAATAATCTACCCTTGATGCCATCAATCCTACTTTTTCATCTTTGGCAGTTTACCTTATCTTTTGAATGTCTTCTATGACTCTACTTAATGTTTTTGAATATATGGAATTCAGTTTTAATGATTGAATGTTTTTGTTTTCTAATTTGATCATTTTGATTGATTAATTTCCTTCTTCATCCTATTTGTGGTTGTATTTTCTACTTATGTTCATTTCTAGAAAATTTGTATTGTATATCACAGATTTTACATTTTGCTTAGATACTATATTTAATTTAGTTTTAATTCTGTAAATATTCTTAGTCTTTTCTCTGAATGCATGTAAGTTACTTGGAAACAATTTGACCTTTTTGGGCTCTGTTAGCACAAACCAGAACAAATTTTGGTCTAGAACTAGTTTTGATTCACAACTGAAGAAAGATTCCT